TAAAGATTAAAGCTTTTACTCTCAACTTTATAATGGAAGTTTGGTTATTTTCTGTAATTCAGTTGTGAATTCTTCTAAGGGATTTGAGTGCTGGCAATTTTATTTATTTATTTTTTTATTATCTAACTGTGAGAAGTTCTTAAATGCTAGTTCTTAAGTACTAGGTCTTTTACCTGTGAGTGACATACTGCTTGCTGGTAGGGCATTGTTACTTTCAGTTACTGAAACAGTTTTATATAGCAGACTGACTGCAAGCAGAGGGTAGCTGAGCCTCTGTGAAAGAGCCACATAAGAATGTAGAACTTTTGACCACAGTGCTGCCAAGAATGCCTTAAAAATCATCTCCCCTCTTTAGTTTGTATCTTTCAAATGGTTATCCAGGAATAGTATTCTGCTTTTTTAGTCTGGAAAATTTGAAAATGCAGGAGTCTTATTTCTGTTTTGTCCTCTTAGCATTTAGATTTCTTAAAAGTAATGCTTTGAATGACACTTTTGATGAAGTAGGTATTCTTACTTGGAGTTTTAAGCTATATGAATCCTATTCTCTATTGACATAAATATTCAGATCTTGTTTAATTTTTATTGTAACCGATTTTACTTTCTTTTTCAGAATCCTAAAATTCTTCTGTTAGATGAAGCAACAAGGTAAGAAGAAAAAGAAACTTAGAAAATATGTACCTGTAAAACTCAGATTTGGGAACTGTTCCCTCTTCTTTTTCTCTTCTCTTCCTTTTTATTTTTCTTTTTCTCTTTTTTTCTGTCATTATATGTTATCTTGCCCCTTATTGCACTCTAGTCACAAAAAAGAATGTGCCTTCTAGAATGTGTGACTTGTTTAGGAAACCTATAATAAAAGCTGTTTATGCAAAGCAGAAAGGATGCCTGGTACATTGTGATTTTTCATGGCATTACATGTAACATGATTTTGAAACATCTGCTTAATGCTTTTTTGGATCTTTAGTTTAAACTTAGATCCTAGTGTAAAAGAAATAGGATTATTGTGCAATGTAACTGATTTTTTCCACTGACTTAATTTGGTGTTGTTTCTCAATGCTTGTTTTTGCATATGAGAATATGTCATGCCTACAACTTGGAAATGAGAACTGAGCACGCTTGTGCTCATTAAACTTTCCTGCAGTTTCAGTGGTTCATCTTCACCACAAATAGAGAGAGTTTGCAGTTTTGGCAAAAGAAACGACATGCATACAAAACCAACCTGCCTTTCAATAACAAATATCCTCCTTTCTCCCATCCCCACCCATTTGTTACTAGTGCTTTGGATGCTGAAAATGAGTATCTAGTGCAAGAGGCTCTGGACCGGCTGATGGAAGGGAGGACAGTCCTAATTATTGCTCATCGTCTGTCTACTATTCAAAATGCTGATTTCGTTGCAGTCCTTGGCCAGGGTAAAATTCTTGAATGTGGGAAACATGAGGAACTACTTGCAAATCCAAATGGACTTTTCAGGAAACTAATGCAAAAACAAGCTTTTCTTCAGAATAATGATACTTTTGCATTAGATTTACAATCCAGAGAAAAGGATAGATTAAAAGAAAATGTATGAGACAACGTATGAATAATTACAAACTTCAAAGACTATAACTTATGTTTCAGTTATGTAAATGTTATATTTTTCCAAAATGTACAAAATATTCTTTTAAAACTTAAATGTGTTTAAACTTTTTATTGAATGCTTTTTAGTAACTATTGTAACTTTTAAAAATACCTGTCACACTGAGATAATTTCAGGGCATAGATTTTTCTGCTTGTATTACTTTGAAACTGTCTAGAATCTTGTTTGCTATAATGCACTGTATGAAGATGTGCTCCATTCTCAAGTAAGTTCAGTATTTTAAAGGTAATTAAATTACAGTCTTATCATTTTCATATCATTGTCTCTCTCCAAGGAACTTTCATGTTTTGTGCTTGTCATTAGTCTTAAAATGCTGGAATTCAGAAATGCATGATACTAACACACTCTGAAAGTTCTGTCTGACTTCCACTGCACTGTCCTTCCAGGTACTGTTTATTCTGAAATGTGATTATGTGTTCTGAACTTGACTATGATCTCCATCTACAGTTCCTGTAGAGAATTACATATTAAAACACATTTTAGAGAATATGAAAGCACAATGGGGGAAAGTTCTTTAATAAAGCAAGCGACGCTATGGAAAAAGAGGCAACCAAACAAAAAAACTGATTTTACAAAAGGACAAAGGAAGTGTCTTACTATATGAAGTCACATAGGAAAATCTAAAATTTGCATGCATTTTCTTCCCTTTTCTGTTTTCCCATTTCTGTAGTTTCACTTCCTTTCTAAGATGACATCTGAAAGAACATGCCCTCCCATATATGTTTTTGTCCTTTTTAAAGGCATATGTAAGTTTTGTGTTGTTAATTAAAATTTCAGTGATAGAAATCATGAGTTTTGCCTAACTACTTTATTAAAAACAACTAGTAAACAACCTTCTCAAGGACAACTAGTAAAGTAGCATTACATTAATTTGAATAACTGCAGGGGGATATGTTTGGCAGTGAAGAGTTTGCCTCATGTTTCTGATTGAAGAGTCTCTTTCAATAGAATCTCTGGAGATGCAAAACCCACAAGGACATTTTACAAAGCTAGAAACTTCCCAGGTCACATTAACACTCATCCATGCTAGAAAATTTTTTGCTGGAAGACCTTATTAGCAATAGCTGAAATAACCTAGTGCTGGGCAAACTTAAAATGTTAGTGCTATTAATGGCACATTGTGGAATATAGCAAAAATATTAGAGAATAAAAATAAAATAACTTCAGATAAAATTTTCCTAGAAGCGTATGTTGTACTAAAGATATGCAAAAAGTAGTCCTGACCAAATGTTTAATTTCAATGTTGATTATTAGTTAATGTATTTAGAGGGGTTTGCATCTTTAATCCTCACTCATGTAATTTCTCCTTATGTGAGATCCAACGAGCCCCTTTATCCCTGTATTTACACGGGTTACAGGAATTACTTGCAGCTGAACTGAATGAGCGTTCCATGTCTTTTGTTCATTAGTTGGCCTGGCAGGTATTGCAGCTGACAGAGGAGTGTGGAAAGCCACACAAAAGCTCTAGTCCACTGAAAGGTAAATGTTTGTCATAACAGGTATATTGGTTAGCAGACTTTATTCGAGTTACAATCACTCAAAAAACTCCTTTATATTCATGGATATTTATGGGACAGTCAAGAACTGGTTTAGTGTCTAGCTGGCATCAGTACAAATTATTTCTGTAGAAAATGAGATTTGAATGTTTAATTGTATCTCTCTCCTGAAGATGGAGCTCTTACAGGGCTGGCACAGCCAAAGGAAGCCGACTAATTCCCTGAGGAAGTATAGATAGGGCTCAATCAGCAAAACACAACTGTTCATGCTGCATCATTTAAAATATTTTAGGACCGAGCTGTGAAGAGGAGCTTTCAATTTTTCAAATAATTTGAATGTCACCAATCTTGAATGTTGGGAAATGTGGATGTCATCTTGAATTTTCTTCCAGATTTTTCTGTATTTGCTTGTTTGTGTGTGCATTTCCTGGTTTGGTTTAGTTTGTTTTTCTTGATGACGTGACAGTAACCTGATGATTTAGCATCATATATATAAAGAAGACCATATAGAAGTGTAGCCATGATATTTTATGAAAAATCCTTTGCTAGGATTTTTTCCATCCTGAGCATGAGGAGCTGAAGGCCTCAGGAAAGAAATGTAAACAATAACTATCTATCTGCTGCTGTGGAGTGCAACAGGTGCAGCTGTGGTTGGTGCATGTTAATTATTTCTAATTAAGAGCCAATCACAGACACAGCTGCATCAGACTCTGAGAGTCACAAGATTTTGTCATACATTCTATTCTTATTCTTTCTAGCTGTCTGATAAATCTTTTTCTCTCTATTATTTTAGTATAGTTTTAATGTAGTATTTTAATATAATATATATCATAATATAATAAACCAGCCTTGTAAGAACATAAAGTCCAGACTCACGTCTCCACACTTTGGATGTTCACAGCACAGAAGGATACTATATTAATGTAACAATACAGTGATACTCCACTAAATTTTAGTATTTTGCTTTTTGCATAAAATCAAAGCCAAAGGAGCTTATCTGAATGAAAAAGACAAAGCACTGACACTGACACACTGCCTCATACTTCAGTCCTGCTAGATGAACCATCTCAAGTTTATCTCATCTGCATTTGGGTTCAGTCAGAGGGGACCACAATCCACATAGAAAGCCTAACAGCCCTGAATCTATTATCAAAAAACACATTTTCAAAAGTTATGCGATTTTTTTTAAATCTATTTTTAGTTAATTTTATCTTAACTGATTTGCTTTGTTGATACATTTAACTCAACTTCTTCCCCAAAAGGGTGGTACATACTTACCCTTTGAAAGTAGCTTTTTCATGCCAGCTGATGCCATTGAGAATTTAGTTCCCGTTGAAGGGTAAAATCTATTCATATACCATAGAATAGCTGTACTGCCTGGTTGTTATTTACCATAAATGTGAAACGTGCCAAGGTCTGCACAGAATATGGTTTTGTGTATTTATTTATTTAATTAATTAGAGATTTGGGGACAAACACAGGTATGCACAGGGTATTTTAAACATACGGCAATTCCTACTTGTTATAAATAAGAAGCTTGACTAGGCCAATATTCAAGCAGCAACCAATTTATTAATTAATATGGTAAAGTATGAGCAATACAGCGCTGGGTACAACAGGAGAAATTTTCCGTCCAACTGCACGCCGATGGTTGGGGCTTACAGGTACTAATAGGGGCACTCATAAGCTTTTTTAGCAGTTTCCATTCCCAATTTTTATATGTCACAAATCTATACACTATTGTGATTTAGTTTTTCTCAGGATGTATCTCAGAAAAGAGTATCCCCAGATGGTGGGGTCCAGCTTCCGAAAGAAGAAGGAAGTCTCCCAGCTGGTGAGGTCCAGATTCCAGATGCGGGTTCACCTTTTAATTGCAAGGACTATAAATCTCATAAGAGTGATGTCCAGCTTCCCTTGGTCAAAACTATCAATCCTTGAGCTGATGTTCATCTTCCTTTCTCAGGCTACTTTTCAGTATTTTGTTAAGGTGTCGAGATAAGCATGTTTCCTTTTTATATATTCTAAAGCTATAGTTTCAAAGATCCTTACTACAAGCAATATTCTAAAATTATACTTCAAAAGATTATTATTGCAAAACTCTTTTTAGCTAGAAGCAGAAAGTTCCTGTCAAACAGCAACATCCTTAAAGCTTTAATTTGAATCTCCTAAATCAACTTAAGACTTATAAACGTTAATTGCAGACAAAGAATAGGTTCAAAGGCCTTCTTCCATGCTTTACTTCCTCGGTTATTTATTAGAATTGTCTTTATAACTGTCCCATGGTCAGTTTCCACACATATCACAATCACATATACACACGTTGCCTGTATGTACCTGACACGAAACACAGCTTTGTATTTCACATACCGAAAAATGCGTTCTTCCAAATGGTCGTTGAATAGCTGCTTTTTGATCATATCCGGCTGGTTAATCACATGAACATATCCGCCAGCTAATCACATGAACTCAGTGAGGAATGGTACCCAAACCCACCTCTGTGAATCCTCCTAGGAACGCCCCGAAGGACGGAGCACAGCTTCGGGAACATCTGAGGGGAGAGGACCGTGATTCAGTTTGGCGCTGAGGAGCGGCCCAGGCCGCCATTCACCCTCTGAGGGCCGGGCCGGAGTTTCCGCCGCTCCCCGCGCCGCGCTCGGATCCTCTCGGCTCTCCTCCGCCCGGAGCCGTTCGGCTCCTCCCGGTCACGCTCGGCTCCGTTCGGCTCCTCTCGGTCGCGCTCGGTTCCCGCGCGGCCCCGCCCCGCGGTGACGCGCTCAGCGGGCGCCGGGCGGGAGCGTGGTGTCGGCGTCGCTCCCGCATCCACAGCCATGTTCCCGTCGGCTCCCGCCTCCCCGCGGACCCCGGGCGGGTCGGCCCGCAGGACCCTGGGCAGCGCCGCGCCCAGCCCTCTCTCCCGGCCGGGCGGCAAGAAGGGCCTGCCCGTCGTGGCGGCAGCCGCCTCCCCGGTGCTGTTCTCGCCGGCGGCGCGGAGGAGCGGTTCCCTCTCGGCGCGGTGAGTGCCGCCCCTCGCCGCAGAGCCGGCCTCGCTCTTAGGTGCTCGGGCCAGTGTGGGGTGCATTACAGCAGTGTACATTAAAGCCGTTCGTATACGGTACCACGTGTTCAGCGTTATGAATAACTCTTACTAGGTTTTGAATTCGAGGGTTCCTTAAGTATGTCCCTGTGTGATACAAGTATGATATATGAAAATTATAAGAACTTCCGTATTTAAAAAGAAGATAAAATAGTCAAAGTTCAGGCATTTCACACTTGCCCCTCTCCCCAGCTTCTTCTGTCTTCTCCCTTCCATACGGATGAAAACTGAGATACGGCACGGGCCCCAGATCAGTTTCAGGCTTCATAATCTCTTTTCTTGGGAGCAGCCATTTGTTGTGTAGTTGAGATAAAGAGGATTGCCCATGTTCAGTTTTGGGAAACTTTTACTTCAAGTCTGCATAATAATTTTTGCTAAGTGGGTGCAAGGATTGTCCAGTAGCTATGAATCAACTTTTGCCATTTCCCGCAGGGAGGTCTGAGACATCATTTCACTTGTGAGGAGAAATTAAAGGAGGGCATTAACTTGTAAAAGCAGAGAAATTTGCCCACATCGTAGTGTTCAGAAGACAACTCAGACCTGTGCTGTTCCAGAGGGAGAAGATGGGGAAAGATGCAAAGCAGCTTTTTGTGAGTGGTAGGAAGTGCAGCCTCCACAGCTACGGTGCTACGGGTGGTAGAAGTGCTGTTGGATCCGAGCTGCCATGGCTGTTTAAAGTGTTGCACAGTGTGTGCTGCCCTGCAGTGCCGCATCTGGGGATGGAAGTCGTCCCTGCAGTCGAAGGGAGAGCTTCTGCTGAGCTTCTGACATTGTGAATGTCTTTATTCTGTAGATAACCAGAGTGTAGAGAAGCTGAACAGTGAGTTTGTTGCTGATGGAGTAATGCATATTCAAAGTCAGTTCTTTAAAAATAAAGAATTTGATGACAGCTAGGAACTTGTAAGGAAGCCACCAAGTTATTGGTCTAGGTGGTGTTCCCAGAGAAAGCATGTTTATGTTACATAAATCTGTTTCTAAATAGATACTTATGAAGTAAATGTCTACTGAAACTGATGAATAAGCAATAAAAAGTTAACTGTAACTTTGTTTTGTTTAAGAGCGACTCCTACCAGAGTTATCCAGCTTCCTACAGCAACTGAGACTATTAACTATGATGTTAAGGCTTTTGGATCCTCTCTGCCTGTTAAGGTTATGGAAGCGCTGAAGAAGGCTGATGGTAAGAATTGATGTTATTTTTCCTCATGAAAATTGACAGGTGAGAGAATTCTTAATGTGTCATTGGTGTCATTGAAATGCTGACTTTACAGGGGAAGCTAAAAATGTCTCTGCCTTGCTTTGAATCCAACCTGGTTATCTACATAACAATAATTATAACAATGCCAATGGGGGTGTGAATGCATGAAAATACCCTTTGGGTGCTGCTTATGCAATTTGTAGTAAAAAAACAAGGGTATAAGGAAAGCTAATAGTAGGTTTTCAGTAGCTTTTACTTATTGGTTCTTCCTTACCTTTTTTACTTCTTTTGATTTTGCTGTGGATGCTTAATATTTTTCTTTATTTCAATTTCCATTTGTTATCTCTTCCAAAAGCCCTGGTGATACAAACCTTTCCCTGAGTTCAAGAAATTGGTCTCCTAAACAATTTTTTCTCTGTAGATAAGTTTTTCCTTTATAGTAGATACAGGAGAAACTTAATATGTATCTTAAAAATAATGCTAAAATTGTTGAGTCATTTACAAAGCTATTATAATCTGCTCTAAATACATGGAAATGGGTTTTGGGGTTGTCGTTTCATTCTCAAAGGTTGAGGGTTTATCAAGTAGATAATTAATCTAGATGTAGTAATTTGATATGTTAATCAAATAGATGGAAATTCTAACATGAAAACTAGTTTAATAGAAAATATTTCTTATTTTCATATGAGAATGAAAGTTTATTGGTTTAAATGTTACTCTGCAGTGTTTTAAAAACGTGAATGCTTTAAAGAAGTTACTTTTTTTATGTAGCTGATGACCACCTGAGTGTTCAAGTGGATGAAAGTGGATGGGCCTGGCTAGTTCATAAGGAGAGGCTGATTATTTGGAAGATTGGTCAATCTGCAGTAGCTAAGGTAACTAAAGGGTCATATGGAAAGTCTGTATTTTATGCTATTTCAACTATGGTTATGCAGTTATGGGGTTGGGGGTTTTTTTCAGCTGGAATTTGTCTGTTTTCCCTCAAAAGCAGCAGGTTTGATATGAAGTCATGCTAACAACACTAACTGAAGCTCAAGCTTTTGAAAGAACTTATAATTTTTATATTCCTCTCTTCAGTTTTAATTGTCACCTTGGCACTAAGATTAATTCTTCATATTTTAATGGATGTGGCTCTTAGGTTAGATAGTCTTGGTAAAGCTTATTTTGATAATTATAATCTAGTATATATATTACAGATTAGTTTAGATTATTCTGGGAGCAATTTTCAACTTGCAAGAAACTCCAAAAATACAGGTAATTTCAGAGGTACTGAACATATGTTTCACCTAGATTTCTTAGGTCAAGAATTTTTGTATCCCCTATGGACAGTATTTCTTTCAGCATTGTTTCAGTGATGGTCAGAGAAGAACAAAATCAAAGTTAAAAAATCAGTTTCTTTCAATCAGGACAATGTATGTTCATTATGCAGGTCCTGCACTTACAGGGGACTGTCAGGTATACACACGCTGGCACCTGAAGAGGTTTTTCAAGGGATTAAAATTTGTGTGGCTGTTTAACTTCAGGGGCGTAGGGGAATGAGAATCTACCCCGCTAATACCTAATAAGTTCTCTCAAGAATTTCTAGTGTAATTTTTTTTTAATATTGCATTAAGGAATAGTCCAATAATCCGATATTGTAGTGTTGTGAGGAACACTCAGAAGTAACTAAAGAAAACCAGTGATATCTGAAAATTTTAAGATGTTTTTTAGCTGTTTGCTGGTTGTGACAACTTTGTTGAAATTGTTTCATGACTTTTTTTAGTTCCCTTACACAGTGTCTGAGTTAGTTGAAGGGTAGTTTTTAGCAGGGTCAAAAAGTCCAAAGATCTTGTGGCAGAGGAATAAGTTATTCCAGTCTCATGTTTATGACATCTCTTTCTTTCTTCTAGTTATCTCTGTGCAAGGAATTGCAGCTGCCACCCAGTGACTTCCAATGGAGTTCTAGTTTAGCAGCTATATCTTGTCTCAATTCTTCAGGTGACGCACCTTCTCTTCAGGTGATCAAATTTTATATTTTAGTGTTTAAAACTGCCTCAAGAATAACTTTCTTGTCAAAAGGATATATTCAAAGTATTTGAAGACGTTTGGTGGTATGCTATCTGTTCAAAAGGTCAGGATTTCTGGTTGGCAGTAAATACCTTTGAAGTATACAAACTTCTGCTAGTCCTTTTAAATTGCACCATGTGCATCCTATAGGATCAGATTAAATAATAGTTTTTCTGAGGATTACTTGACATGCTTTCATAGCAAACCAAAATGCAGTAAACTCAGAGGTGTTGTGTTAACAAACACCAGGGCAATCAAAAATGGGGTCAGACCAAGTGTGGTTTAAGTGCTGGCTGAAAACATTGTTCAGTGGATTAATTTCCAGTATCCACAGATGAAAGGCAAAGCCCAGCACCCTCCCTCGGCTGGTCTCTGTAAGGAATTTGACACTTGAAGGACAGACTCAATCTGTCTTGACTGATTGGTCTCCTAAGTGTTTTTTTTTTCCTGAGTTACTCTATTAGAGGGTGAGGTTCAAAGACTGGTTGTGTTCTGAAAGTGTGTTAATGTTCTCAAAGTGTGTTAATCAGTCATGAAAAGAGCCTCTCATTTTCAGCTTAGATTTCAGTTTAATATATGTGATGCTCTGATAAAACTGGCTAAGAAACTGTCCTTGGAAGTAAGCAGCAGCACAGAATATGTAATATGATCTTTTCTTTTGATTTGTTGTTGTGTTACTCTTCCAGATGATAAAATGCAGTCTTAGTATTTTGGGATTATCTCTTGAAACCTGAAATGTTCTGCCTTAGTTTAAGAGGAAGTAATTCGCCTAACCCTAGTACTTTATTTATTGTAGCTTTTAATTTCATCATTCTTTAGCTTGTGAACTGAAAGTCAGTGTCTGGTTAAAAATTGGTTAGAAAACTCCAAGGAACTCTATAACAAACTCCCAGCTGCAGTTCTTCTACTGTTCTGTGATTTTTATGTTTTTTTTAACTACCAGTCGATTGAGTACAATAATTTTCTCTAAACCTCTACCTGAACAGTCTCTTGCTTCACGCTTTTAATTTGGTATCTGTGATTTCCTGAGTTACACTGTAGGCCTATGCCTTTGAAAAGAAGTGCCACCATGTGGTTTGATATTTCTCTTAAAGACACTAGAATAGTTTCTTTGCTAAATTATAGTCTTCATTTGAAGTCTTCCATAGTAGCTTTTAACTCTTGGCATCTGAAATTCTCCACAGGCTCTTTTCTGTTTTACAACTGTAAGTTTCATTTGCATTTCAGCAGCAGACCCTGAATTATCAGGAACAAGAACCAGTAGAAAATGTTCATTAGGAAAATAAAGGTGTACAACATTCCCTGTACTAATTAAGTTGTACTGCAGAATGTTTTTGTGATTCAGTTCCAGGTTTGTCAGTGTGCATCAGTGTGTATTTGCTACTTTCTCCTTGTCTTTGTCACCCACAATCTTGATGTGTAACATAACATGTTTAAGTTAAAGCTGCGGTCTGATTGAACATTATTATTATTATTGTTATTATTATTATTATTATTATTATCATCATCATCATCATCTCGCCTGTTCTCTTAATTGTTTTTTCACTTCAAGTCTCTGGCAATAATGGTTGCTACCAGTGAAGGTTCTGTGCGCTACTGGCCCAATCTTGCACACGAAGGATCCTATACAGACACTTTCACAGACTTTGGAGGCTCTCTGTGCAGTTTCCTCACAGCAGTAAAGGTAAAACAGCATGATTTATATTAAAATACTGGTTTTATTCCTAATCTAAAGATGGAAAAGTATAATAAAGTATAATAAAGCTCTACTTTATTAGTCTTAAATCTGCAATAAATGTGGTGAAGGTAACACTATGTTCTGTCATCAGATTCCAAAGACTGTGTGAGAGTTTTATTCTGTTGTTTAACTGAAATTGAGTTTCATGGCTAAAAATGTCACATAAAGTTAAGAAAATGAGTCTCTGCCGGTGCCAAGTACCCATGAGATGTTTGTCTTTTTCTAAGGGTGCCTTGCATCTTGTTCAGCATTTACCCATATGAGCTGTCATAAAGAATTTTAGCTGACAGTAGAGTTTTCTAGAATGTGATTTTTAAATTTTTTTAAATTTAGTTGCTTTCTCTTTTTTTTAGGGGGGAAGCTTTATTTTATCATCTTCCAGAGGTCAATTAGTCCGGTTGATACCTGATAGTTCTGGCAAGATTCATCAACATGCCCTGCCACAGGGGCAGGGTATGTTTTCTGGAATTGGTAGAAAGGTTTCTTCTTTCCTGGGTATATTGTCTCCTGGAAATGATGCTGTGGTAAGCTTGAGAAACATTCATCTTCTTTATTTTCTCTTTGTAATTTCTAGCCTGTGTTTAAGGAAGGAAAAAGAAAAGATTGTATAAAGATGAATGATGACAAAAAACACATGACTCACTCAACTCATTTATGTTACTTATATTTCTTTGAAATTTGAAACAAGAACAGAAACCAAATAAATCTGTATGTTTTGTGAAGGCAAATGCTGGCTTACACTTTAGCTGTGAATAAAAGGCGACTTTGGAATAGTAGTCCTTCCTGGGGAATATGCAGTGGTTGCATGTCCTCCCCCTTTCTAGTGATAGCCTCCTTACTAATTGAAGAAACCAGCCTGTAATTCTTCTTTTCTGATTTAGCACTGCCAAGGGTTGATGATTGGCTTGAGTTTTGTCAATGAACTCCACAGAAGTAGGCAGGAAGTACAATAAATGTATTTAGTATAGATATTCTTTTATCTAGAAAATTAGACTTCTCTTGGAAGTTATCATAATGCTCATGTTGAGTGCAGCTTTTGTAGATTGCCCAGGGAAGTGACTCTTTGTCGACTGAGGGTAGTTTAGATTATTCTACCCAAATATTCAGGCTTTCCTTTAACCTTTTTAGCTTTTTCATTTTTTAATTGCAGATTTCTAGTGTTCTTTGGGATAGAGAGAGATCAAGCTTTTACATGCTGACAAGTTCAAATCTAAACAAATGGGAGATTGATGATTCATCAGAACGTTACATTCTCAGCTGGGATATCAACAGGATCCTGAAAGAACATATTACAGATGCAATTTGGGTAAGAGCCAGCCCAACTGGAAAGGGTTTGTTATAGTTAATAGCCTGTTTATATACAGTGACACAACAGATATATTTCTTTTTATAGGGGTCTGAAAGTAACTATGAAGATATTAAAGGAGGAGTAAATATACAATACATGGATTTGCAACAAAATCGGTAAGGAAGTACACTTGCATCTGGTAAGACCTTCATTAATGAGATAAATCTGTTATGTTTTCCTGCAAAAACTTAATGTAAGTAATTGCAATTAATTTTTACTGGAGTGGAACTGTTGATAAAATAAGCACCTTATTTCAGGTAATTTCCTTTACCAGATAATAATTCCCTTTATTTTTTTAGTGTCATTTTATCAGGATTGTGTATTTGTTTTGTCTTTGACATAAATAGGGCAGGAGAT